AGGGTGCCACGACGACGACCTGCCTGGGATCGAAAGGTGCACCACAGGTGCACCACAGGTGCACCACAGGTGCACCACAGGTGCACCACACCCTCCAACTTTCAGCGATAACCCGCACAGCCCTGAAACTGGAACAAAAGTGCGGCCTCTCTCTTGTACAGCAGTGTCTCCGCCCCACAATCGATCGTCTACGCAGGAGCTGATTCAAAATCGAAAGGGTGTTGAGCCTACAGCCTCGGGTCAAAAACGAAAGATCGAGAGGGCTCAGGGCCGTAGGACGCAACGATCTTCGGCCCTTTAGGCCCAAAATTGGGACGAGCCAATCGGAGCTCAACGATTGTGGACCCGAGCGGACCGAGCGGAGCGAAGCGGAACGGACAGAGCGAGCGGAGCAAACGAAGCGGAGCGAAACGAACGAAGGAGCGGAGCGGAGCGGAGCGAACGAGTGAGTGGAGCGAAGCTGAGTGCGCGGAGAGAGCGAGGGGAGTGTAGCGGACGGAGCTGAAGCAGAGCGAGCGGAGCAAACGAAGCGGAGCGGAACGAACGAGGGAGCGGAGCGGACGAGTGAGTGGAGCGAAGCTGAGTGCGCGGAGAGAGCGGCGCGAAAGCGAAGTCAGCGGAGTGAGGGAAGCGAGAGAGTCCACAATCGTTGAGCTCCGATTGGCTCGTCCCAATTTTGGGCCTAAAGGGCCGAAGATCGTTGCGTCCTACGGCCCTGAGCACTCTCGATCTTTCGTTTTTGACCCGAGACTGTAGGCTCAACACCCTTTCGATTTTGAATCAGCTCCTGCGTAGACGATCGATTGTGGGGCGGAGACACTGCTATACAAGAGAGAGCGACGCCGCGCGCGCTCCGCTGGAAGGGACAGTGCGAAAGTGACAAAGACTGGGTCGATGTCACTAACCGAGGTAATCTGAAACATGCCGAAGCCCGAGTATAGACGTTGGCCGGCATCTCATTCCACGCACATGCCAAGATGCAGGAAAGAGAGGGCCGTGCAGGGGTCAAAAAAAACGGACAGTGGATGCTCACGTATCCTGGCTTCTATCGCGGCACCTTTCGACTGCTCTTCCCCCTTGCGGATATTCCGCTAGGGTTACAAGCGCAGCCCGCGCGGTTGTCGCCTACTGGATTCGTGGGCGCAAAAGAAGAGATTTAACTTTCCGACCCGCCTGTGGCGCTTTGCGCACTTCGACGCAGTGGAGGCCAAAGCGATGGCCCTCCTTCAAAGGTTGGTCGCCCAGGAGGAGGGACGAGCGCACCACCACCGGATGGCACCCGTCCCTGGATCCGGCTGGGGCACCTTCAGGCACAGGACCGCTGGAAGGCAGTATCAAATGCTCTATCTCCTGAAGGAGAGTCACTTCCCCTCGAGTGGACGTTGACATGCAACGCTTACTCGACAGCTGGCCGCACGAGGCAGCGACCGGCTCCACTAGGTGATCTCCGCTCTATGCGACCTTGGACCGATGACATACGTCGTTGTGTCGATATTCTGGAAGCGGAGAGAGCTACTTAGCCCTGCGTAACATTGCGTATCATAAGACGGGCAGACGGTATCCCTCTGCCCTGCGGTTCAAACTCACCGCGTCTGGCCGGAAGGATGCCGTTCTCAAAACCCGCCATCAATCGGTCTGCAATGGAAATCTGAGGACGGCCTACCACATTAGCTGGAACCTTGCATGTAACCCGCACCTCAATATGTTGGCCGTCTCGGGTTGAGGTAACGTTGGTGAGCTGCAGAAGTAGGGCGCCGAAGGATCGTCGGCGAGTGCTCGTGTGAGGAAGAATAGCAGCTGCACGGGTAGCAGCACGCCGCAATGTAATGGTGTGGCCGGTGTCACCTCAGCACTCGTGCTGCCTCCCCCGACGTTGCGCCGTTGGCTAGAACCAGCGCCCCGTCGGCAGAGCAGCCACCACCAAATTTCAGGACGGGCAAGTTCAAACCAGGAGAGGTCTGAAAACCTGTCCTTCAGGCAGGCGTAGAACTGGATCACAGAACTGTACTAGTGCGACTGACACTGCCAGCATGGGTGTCAAGTATACGCGAAATGCTTTGTCATCAGTGCAGCGCCGTAGCATGAGTGCCCGGTCAGCAAAATCACCGAATCTTGGCGGGTTAGCAGTCCGAAGATCAAGCACTCGGTGTCGATGACCGGGTAAAACGGTCGCGCCGTGATGGCCTGGCCCCGCGGTCCACTGTGCTCAAAGTCCACACTCCGAAGAAGAAGCTGAACCGGGAGCCATCCAAGCAACTGTGCGCTGCAACGGCTGTAGCGGTACGAATCGTTCGCAAAACTTCTTTGTAGTCTTCTTGTCCTCACGTAGGGGGCTAGGTATCCCAAGCTTGGCGAGTCCAGGCTCTGTACAACTCCTTCCATCGGAGGCTATGATGGAGACAGAGTGGAGCCAATGCAGCGGGAATGCCCACCAATGAGAGGGAGAGGCAATGATCAATGGGCCTCTGGGTGGCATGCTGCCGGCGGCAGTCCCTGATGGGCATCTTTTCCTGTTATGGTAAAGCGCTCGGCCCTGTTGATAATGCAGATGTCAACTGCCTCCGTAGTCTGCACACACCGTAGTGGTGAAAAGGTCAAGAAAGACGTCCAGTTCGTTGTGATGATCATAGAAGGAGGAGAAGAGGGTAGTGGACTGCGTCTCGGATGAAAAGCAAGGATGCGCTTCTACTTCACAAAATCGGCCGGCGTGAGGTCAGAGGTAGCTGGAAAGTGAGAAGCGCGGGCGGCCGTCTCTACTACTTGAAGAACAACAGCACCAGATGCACTTTAGAGGCAAAGTGGCGCCAAAACCTTGGCGCAGGTTGGATGCAAGGTCGGACAGGCATGCCAATGGCCAGGACACGCGCAGGCATTTTGAGGACTTGCAGGAACACATCGAGAGCTCCGTCAACCTTTATGCCTTCTGGAATCACCCATATCGGTGATCGTGTCTGCCCACACCCTGACCGGCATACATTCTTGGCCATGCGCCCTGAAGGCCTTGTGAAATTGATCGTCCTCTAGTCCTTGCCTACAATGTCTGCGGGCATCGTTTTGAAGTCAGACGGGACGGAAAATCATGGTTGTCACACCCACCACACGGATTTTTGATTCCCTCAAGCATGGTCTAGGCCTCAGCAACGCGCACCCTGCCAACGCCGATACTGGTGACGCGCCGGGTTGTCGCTGAGGGCACATCATTTGTGGAGTTCATATCGGACTGGTTGCCAGAGCTTCCGCCCAGGAAGCTAGGTCAGTCTTGACTTAGATCAGCAAGAGCTCCGTGGGTGTCGGATCACCCGACAAGGGATGAAATACTTCATCCCACAGACTTTGAAGGGAAAGGTCCCAGTTGCAGACGTGGCCAGCTTGTGGGACGGCTCCAAGAAAGAAAGGCCACTGTCGGATGAGCAAGAGAGCGGTAATGGAGTTAAGGCGGTTTTGACGCCGTTCGATCTTGCGTTGTTCGCGGGTTTTTCCTTTGAGCCGGTCAGGAACTATCAAGTCCACAGACTGCCACTACTATGCCTATTATTCATAATAATTAATCCTTGTACTATTGATTAATTAGAATGTTTTCAAGACTGGTCAGCCTTCGAACTGGGGGGCCTACTATTCGTTAGTAGCGATTCCTGCCGGAGCTGGCTACTAGTACTAGCAAGCACACAGCAAGCAGTCTTACACTACCACTAACCTAATTGTTCCGAAAGCTAGCGCTATAACAAGCCCTGAAGCTTCTTAGTCCAAAGTCCAAGCACAGCCAACCGTCGAAAACACCGAACTGGATAGTTCTGAGATGCGGCTTACCTACTTCAAAAACAAAAACCCTACGTGACTCGAATAAAGTAGTAGCCTTGTTCATGTGCTTCTGCGTCTTCTCGCGGCCAAATCAAGTAGCCAGGGTGAATCTTAGCAGTCTCTAATTATGGGCACTTATATAGCTGTCCGCCACTTACTACACAGTAACTTCTGGCTCCTTTTGTCTAGTTTTTCTTTGTCTGAAGCTTGTCTATGTTGCTGCTGAGTTTTTTTAATGAAGTTGCTGGGTTGCCTGCGCAGAACAAAGAGCGCAAAGTAGTTTATTAGCCGTTTAGTAGCTCTTCCTATTGCTTGAAAGATTCACACTGTGCCGCACGTGATGGTTTGCTAACTAAGTATACTAAATAGATAGACCGAACAACATCACATGCGGCCACCAGTGTGTATCTTTACTTTAGCATACATTCAACCCTCAAACCCTCAAGCCAATGTAGGAGTTCTATGTATGTTCCATACTCTGCATGCACAGCCAGATCTTCCATTCTGATTCAGAGTAACTCAATTAAACTCATATAGCTTCCTAGCCCACACGGTTGATTTCAATAGTATGGGTACATCGCATGTCTATATATATATATATATATATGCAATATGACATGAATGACTGCACACATTATATATATATATATACACACACACACACACACCAATTACCATGCTGTCAAGCCACACATGACTTCGGACATTGTTCATTCAGTTCAGGATCAGGCAACCATGCATGTGTCAAGGCGGAGGCCTTCTGCTGCGGCCAGCACTTGTGGCTGGACTTGGCGTAGTAACCGCCATGGCTAGTCGTGCATCAATTCAATAATTAACCTTGAAACCCGAAGCCCTGAAACCCTAACCTTTAAAAATTCCTTCCTTTGTAACAAACATTTCGCTTAGGAGTGTGTTGCCCTGTAATCCTGTAGATGAGCTGTTTGCCACATGATTTTGTATAGTATGGAACAAATGTTCCACTGTGGTGTTTAGGCTCAAGGGACGCACCCAAGACAGCCGTGCGCCCGAGGAAAAGTGAAGTGCGAATATCTGTGTGAAGTGAAAGGGTCCGGAACGTACCCGTAAAGCGTTTTATGGTAGCGGAGCTGAAGGCCAGGACCTTCGGCTGAAGAAGAGCCCAATACAAGGAGAAACGAGCCTTGGGCCCCAGTGTCACGGAAAGTAAAAGAAAGGAAAGTTGAATGGCCACGCCAAGTCCAGCTGGAGACGCGGATTTGCCTGTGTCCCCTGGTCACGGTGGTCAAGGAGGAGATACACCAAGTGATACGCCAATGGCGATGCCTGCACCAGAAGGAGTTGCAGGAGGATCCCTTCAGGCCCTGATAGGGAACCTGTCGGCAGCAGCGCAAGCTTTGGCGAGTGCTGCAGGTACAGGAAGTACCAGAAGTTACGACTCTGCAGCTAAGCTGGTGAAGAGTCCGGATGTGTTCGCTCCAAAGAGTTTGGAGGAGGAAGTTTCACAGTGGCCAGACTGGAGTTTCAGTTTCAAAGTGTTTGTGGGCTTCATTGATCCCACTTATGCAGAAGAGTTGAAGAAAGTGGAGCTGGCACCACCAAATCCAGCAGATTATACAGTTGGTGAAAGAGAGAGAAGTACAAAGCTGTATGCGATTTTGGCCTCGTATCTTAGGAACAGGCCATTGAAGTTATTGAAGTCAGAAGGAAGTCCAGATGGATATTCTGTCTGGAGGAGACTGTTTGAAGAGTTGGAGCCGTCAAGCCGAACAAGAGGGCTGGCAATGGCTCAAGCTCTAGTGAGCTTTCCCCAGATGACGAAGGGGACTTCTATCTTAGACTATCTGCTTACCTACGAAAAACTGGTTGCGGAATACGAAAAACTGTCCGAAGGAAAACCATACGATGAGAATTTGAAAATCGGAACAGTACTCAATGGGTTGCCAAATGAGTTGAGGAAGCATATCCTGATAGGGTTGACCCCTACGACGAAGTACGCAGACATCAGGAAGAAGTTGCTTGGGTATGAAAGGAGTACCCAATCGTGGAATGCGGAGAACATTTTGCAGTCTTTCAACATGGAAAGCGCAACGAAGAGTACACCCTACAATGGGCCACAACCAATGGATGTTGATCGAGTGAAAGGAAAAGGAAAAGACAAAGGGAAAGGATACGACAACAAAGGAAAAGGAGGAAAAGGAAAAGGATACGACAACAAAGGAAAAGGAGGAAAAGGAAAAGGGTACAACAACAAAGGAAAAGGAAAAGGAAAAGGATACGACAACAAAGGAAAAGGAAAAGGTGGTTATAGAAATGCACGAGCAGTGGACGCTGGTGGCTACGGGAAAGGGAAGTTCACAGGAGAGTGCCACATATGCGGAAAGACAGGACACAAAGCAGCTGATTGCTGGCAGAATCAAGGAAAGGGAAAAGGAGGTAAAGGCAAAGTGAGACAGGTAGAAGAGGAAGGAACCCATCAAGGAGATCACGAGAAGAGTTCCTCTAGCAATGCCCCTCCTGCGAAGAATGAGACTGGTCAAGTGAGGCAGATCACAGCTGAAGCAGCGCGACAAGCAAGAAGAGTAGAGATGACACAAGAGTGGAACGATGAGGATGAAGAGCTCAACTTTGTGAGATTGTGTCAAGAGTTTGAAGGTTTGGTTCAAGGAGAGCTGAGAAGAGTTGAGGAGTTTGATATCTCTTCGAGCGATGAAGTGGAAGAGATCGAGGAGGAACCGACTGATGGTTTGATGGAGTGGTACCAAGGATGGTGGTTCTTGGAAACAGAAGTTGAAAGAAGTGTGAGAATGGTTTCTGAAGGAGATGATGTGAGAAGAACAGCAAGAGAAGTGGATGCATGTGAGGTAGTGCTCGACAGTGGAGCTGACTGCCATGTGTTGCCTATGGATTGGGCAGAAGAAGTCGGAGAAACTTCGAACTTTGAGTACCATCTGAAAGATGCGCAAGGGAAAGTGATCCCAACGTTGCCTGTGAGGCAGAATGTGACGTTTGTTTTCACGAAGGAGTCTGGAAAGAAGTTGAAGATCACTGACAGTGCTGTTTGCGGCAATGTCACCCAACCTTTGTTTGCGGTAGGAAAGATGTGGAAGCTAGGTTGGGGTACGGTGAATGAAGATGGAAGATTGTGGTTGAAGAAAGGAAGTGTTCGGATACCGATATACTTCAAAAGGAATTCCTCAATGGCGAGGATGTGTATACGGAGACTTGAAGGAGAAGAGATGACGGTGCAGCCTGTGAGGCTGGAGCGAGAACTGAAGAATGAGTTGAAGAGCAAAGAAGATGAAGATGGTTGGTTTGTGCTAAATGACGGCACACCTGCAAGGTTTGATTGGTTTATGGGGAAGACGTTTGACCCAACGGGTCAGTTCCCTAACAGACTCTATGAGAGAGCAGGAGATGAAGGCGACTATTTTCCTTATAGGACAACCTTGCTAGGAAAGATGAAAAGAAGTGGAGAAAGAGTGTTGAATGAAGTGGATTGGAAGAGTATGGACTTCTTTGAGTGTACGGAGATCTGGAAGGATCGCGAAAGAGTGCAACTTGGGGCGAGTCCTCAAGCAAGGTTTGAGGTGATGGTCACCTTGTTGGAAAAGGGATTGAAGGAACCGAGTGACTATGGGTTGCTCACGAACTTGGAAGAGCTTGAAAGAGAACTGGCACAAGAAGGAGTGCCAATGGAGGTCACAGGAACCTCCTCAGGTTCGAAAGACAAAAAGGAAAGTGAGAAAGAGGAACCGAAGAGAGGAGTTCCGGTGATCGGTGAAGATGAAGAAGAAGTGATGGTGATTGGACCGATAAAGTTGACGCGCCAGAGTGAGTTGAAGGAGATGAAAGCGGCGTGCAAGTATCTGCATATCTCGAAGAATGGATCGAAAGAGATTTTGTGGAAAAGATTGAAGAAAGAGGTTGCGCTGAGCAAAGTGAAAGCGCAAGCCCAAATCTCTGAAGATATCAGAAAGGAGTTTGAGAGAGAGCCGATTCCAGAGGCTCTGCCTGCTTTGCCGAGCCCGGAAGAGATTGAAGCACATGAGTTGACGCATTTGCCGAGAGCGCCCTGGTGTGAAGCATGCCAGGCAGCAAAGAGCAGAGAAGACAACTTTGAAGAGACGAAGGAGAAAGCGCAACGGCCCGTGTTTAGCTTGGACTTTATGTTCACAGGAACACAAGGAGATGAAAAGGAGAGAGATCCGCTTGCTATTCAGCTTGCGGGTGTTGACAATGACACGAAGTTCCTGATAGCTATTGCGGTACCAACGAAAAGAGGAGATGCGGTGATAAACCACGCAGTGAGTGAAGTGGTAAGAGTGTTAGCCCTTTTGGGTTACGCTGAAGTGGTGATTAGAACGGACACCGAGCCAGTGATGATTGCCATAAGGAGAGGAGTTCAAGTGGCAAGAACGAAACAAGGTTTGAAGACGGAGTTGCAAGATGCCACACCTGATGAACATCAAGGGTTGCCTGTGGAAAGGTATATCCAAACTGTGAGGAACCTTGCAAAGACGTTGTTGGCGACGGTTGAGCAACGAAGTGGAACGGCCATCGGATCTGATGTCCCGCTTTATAGCTGGGCGTACAGACATGCAGCATGGCTGCATAACAGGTTTCATGTAGGAAGAGATGGCAGAACTGCGTTTGAAGCAACAGTGGACCGAACGTACAAAGGGAAGTTGGCCCCATTCGGGTCAGCAGTGTTTGGAAAAGCAGTGCCAAAGACCAAGGAGAAGGGAGAACCTTGGGAGAAAGGAGTCTTTCTTGGAAAGGATTACGCGAGCAATCTGAACCTGATTGGCACAGGTAGAGGAGTGATTAAAGCAAGGACAATGAGAAGATGTGCTGAGGCATATCAGCCGGAGCTTTTGCAACTTTCGGTTGGAGCTCCATGGGATCATCAGCTGAAGGCTTTGAGGTTTAAGAAGAAGAGAATTGTGCCTATTGATGATGGGCCAGGACTGCCAAGATTGGCGGTGGAAGCTGACAAAAGAGTAGAAGAGGAAAAGAGAAGCGAGCCTTCGCCGCCAAGCGACCGTCAAGGAAGCTCAAGTTCTTCTAGTAAGAGTTCGTCGCTGTCTGGAGCAACGCCAGAAGCAATGGACGACGAGAGCGATGACGATGATGATGATCCAGGAGAGGTGAGAACAAAGAGAAAAGCGGAAGATGAATTGGTGCCCGATGAGATGACGTTGGAAGAGTTTCAAAGAGAAGTTGCAAAGCGGAATGCAGAAGAAGAAGGAGAAGGGTCACCGAAGAAAGGACCAAGAGCAGACGAAGGAACTGGAGAGGTAGAAGAAAGAGTTGAAAAGGTGCCAAGACTTGGAGACGAAGCACGAGGAAGTGCGGCGCGAGTGGAATACCACATTCGGAGATTCGCCAAGAGCGAGGATCCCGAAGAGCATGGAGATGAGTATGTTGATCTCGACGAGACACAGCTGTTTCTGGAAGAAAGTCGAGAGTTCCAGAGCAAGTGGAACGAGAAGGTGTGTGAGACAGAAGAGGACCTAACGGTTACTTGGTCTCACGAGTATGATGATGGGCCACCAAAGTTGGAAGCTGAAGATTTGGAAAAGGTGGACCTGAAAGCGGAGAGAACAGAAATCGAGAGACTATTGGAGATGAAAGTTCTCAAAGAAGTGGAACTGGATGAGAATGGAGAGTTGAAGAAAGGACCGAATGGAGAAGAACCAAAGAGACTCAGTACAAAGTACGTGTTGGATTGGAGGCATAGGGACCTCCAATGGAAGAGGCGAGCCCGCCTAGTGGCGCGGGAGTACAAGTGGCTGACGGACTACGATCTCTCAGCGCTATACTCACCCACGAGTATTGGTTCGAGCATCAAGCTGTTATCAGCTTTGTGTGCGAGTTCAAGAGACTACGAGATGATCTCGATAGACATTTCGGACGCGTACCTTCAGGTGCCACAGAAGGAGTACACGGTTGTGAGTTTAGGAGGAAAGTGGTACCAGCTGCAGTACACCCTGCCGGGACAACGAACAGGAAGCAGTGATTGGTTTGAGCACCTACGAGAAATCCTGGAGAAAGAGAAGATGGTTTCCGATGTGGGGTTACCAAGTTTCTTCTACAAGTTTTCAGAGACCCCAGGAGAAGGTGGAACGCTGATGAGTACACATGTGGATGATTTGGAAGTGTTTGGAAAACCAAAGGAGAACCAAGCAGTGGTTGATCTGCTGCTGAAGCACAAGTTGAAGATCAAGCTGGAAGGACCAGTGAAGGTTGGAGAAGGAAAGTGTACTTTCTTGAAGAGGACGTTCTTAGGAACAAAAGAAGGAATTGAGATCAGGATGGACGGCAAGTATCTTGAGAAGTTGGAAGAGATTTTAGGTTTGGGAAAAGCCCTGCCAAAGAAGTTGCCGTTTCCAATGGATTACGGAAGATCGTTGAAGGACGACACGCCCTTGGATGCAGATGAACATCATCTGTACAGATCCTGTGTGGGAATCCTATTGTATATGACACCGGAGAGACCTGATTTGGGATTCGCTACGAAGTGGTTGTCAGGGAAGTTGGCAGCGCCAACGAGAGGAGACTTAGCAGTGCTTAGGCACGTGGCAAAGTACGTGAAGGCGACAGCCCATTACGTGATAGAACACAAAGAGGCATATCCTGGAAAGAGTTTTCTGGATCCAAGTGATAAGAGAACTGAGGATGCCTACAAAGATGTTTTTACGGCGAAGACTTTGATCGAGGTAGTGACTGACGCTGACTGGGCGACCGATCGTGAGAATAGGCAGTCAACGAGCTGCGTGTTGATTTTCGTGAACAGTAACATCGTTTACTTTCACGCGAGAAAGCAACAAGCGACGGCTTTGAGCAGCTGCGAAAGCGAACTGGTGGCAGCTGTTGGAGGTTTGAGTGAAGGAGTTTTTCTACAGAACCTGTTGCACAGAGTTCTAGGGATTAGGCCGGAGATGGTGATTAGGATGGATTCTAGCAGTGCTAGGTCTATTCTTCTGAAGAAAGGCCTAGGAAGAACGAGGCACATTGATGCAGGACTGCTTTGGGTTCAAAGGCTTACTTCTGTAGGTCTTCAAGTGAAAGCGATAGCTGGAAAGGAGAACCCTGCGGATGTAGGGACAAAGGCTTTGTCAAGGAACGCTGTTGTGAAGTGTTTGGAGAGAATCGGTGTGAAAACTGGAGGAGAGAGTGAAGAGGTCAGGATAGCAAGTGACTTCAAGATCCCTACGAAGTATCTGAGAAGACTGGTGATGATGATGATGGTTCAGCAATGTGATGGACTAAGAGAGCAAAGCAGTAGAAGCAGTGAAGGTGGAAGCTTTGGTTTGGTGATGATGGTGATGATGATGACAATGGTCGTTATCTTGGTTTGTAACGGTAGCCTGTGGAAGAGTCTGGTTGGAAGTGCTGAATGCATGTTTTGTTCCGCCGCTGCCGTTTTTAACTCAAGGAAGGAAGTGAGAAGAAAAGAAGTGAGGAAAAAGGAAGTAGAAAGAAAAAAAGAAGTGAAAAAGATGGCCGACGACGCGGCCCTCAAGACAATGATAAAGGACGAATGCCGAAGCATAGAGTCCGTAACCCTCTGCGAAAGAGAGCTCAAAAAGGAACGCGAGAGGAGGTTAACCCTGGATGCCCTATGGCCCGAAGTGCAACGCCTCAACCAACAGTTTGAGCCTAAAGAGGCGGCCCCGCCAGAAGCTGCAACGGCGGAGGTTAAAGTGCCTGAAGAGTTCAAGAAAACAGCCGAGGAATTGGCTGTAAAGGCACAAGGAAGCAAAGGAAGTGCCGAAGGAAGCCAGGCACAGGTTATGGAAGATAGAGTGAGTGAACTGAGGCAGAAAGCCTTGGATGCTTCCGAGAGGCGAAGGGGCCAGAAGGAAAGGGCAAACGAAGCCGCAGAGAAAGCAAAGGAAACAAAAGAAGAAGAAGAGAAAAAGAAAGAGAAAGAAGAAGAGGAGCATGAAGCCTCTGAGAGCGAGGAGAAAGTGAGCTCGGAGAAAGAAGAGGAAGAGCAAAGCTCCGAAAAGGAAGAAGAGAAAAAGAGAGGCGAGAAGAGAAAGAGAAAAGACTCTGAGTCGAGTGACGATGAGTACAAAGAGATTATGAACAAGCTGGCAAAGAAGTCAGTGCTGGAAGAGGAAAAGAGAGTGCAGGACCTGCTTGGGCAGATGAGGGTTCTGCAGGAGAAAGTGGATGAAAAGAGAAAGAAATTCGCCATTTATGGTGATTTGTACACGTACAAGCAGAAGCAAAAGAAGCTCAAGGAGGAAGAAAGAGACAGATTGATTGCAAAAGAGATAGAGGTAAAGGAGGAGCTGAAGCGGGTAGCGGACGAAGCGTTCGTTGCCAAGGAGTCCATAGAGAAACAACTGGACAAACTGAGAGCCGAAGAGGAAGAGCAGGAAACGGAGGCTACATTGATAATGGACGAGGAGTCCGCCCTGCAGAAAGAAATGGACCGGGTAAGACCGAAACTCCATGCTGCACTGGAGGAGTTGAAAGCGAAAAGGAAGGAACTACAGGTTCCAGCGGGTGGACTGCTTCAGGGCGAAGCTGAGCAAAAGCTGGAAGAGATGGAGCGCAAGAGGATCAAAGAGATGAAAGAGCTCCAAGAGACAAAAGAAAGGGAGATCAAAGAAGAGATAGACAAGAAGGAAAAAGAAATCACAGAGCTGAAAGAGGCAAAGGACAAAGAGATTGGAGAACTTAATGAAGAAGTTCGAAAATTGAAGAAGCGCAAAAGCAGTGCTGGGTCAACGCAAGGCCAGCCGAACGAGGACGCAGAGAAGATGAAAGAAGAGCGCCGGAAGATGCGCGAAACCATAAAGGAGCTAGGAAAGAACAACAAGGCCCTCGAAGATGAGCTCCAAGCGCTTAAAGAGGAAGGAAGAATCAACGAAGATCCTGATGCGCAAAGCCAGGCAATGGTATGCGCAGTATGTTCGCGTTTCGGACATGGTTCCGAAACGTGTTGGGATGCTGATTACAATTATATTGCCTCAGGGCAGTATGCCCCAAAGATGCAAAGGGAAGAAATGAGTAAGGAACAGTTCCAATCCTGGTACAAGAGGAATGAGTTGATAATCCGAAGAGCATACGCGAACAGGTTGGAGACAAACAAGAAAAAGTACCGCACTGACAATGCGGAAAAGGGCAAAGGAAAGAAAGCCCAGCAAAAGAGCGGCTAAAGGAGAAAAGGAGAAAAGAGAAGAAAGGAAGACCAAACCTGAGGTCTATAAAGAAAAAGGGAAATCTGACGGCTGTAAAGCCGAGAGGGGGAACTTCGTTCCCAAACGAGGAAAGAGTTTTCTGAAAGCTGTACGACAGCTGCACCACGAGAAGCCGAAGAGTTTCTTTACGAGGAGAGTTTAAAGAGTTTGAAGAGTTTTGTGGCTTTGGCCACCGCGAGTTCTTTTGAGGCTGAAAAGCCAAAGAAGTGAACGAGTTTGAGAGCGGCCAGTAGGAGTAGCTCTGTTTCACTCGTCTCACACCACGACAAAACGGAGTGCACAACGAGTGTTTCAAAAGGAGGAATGAGCGACTGTTTTGGGTTCGTTGCACCTCTAGGAAGGAAAAGGGCGAAAAGAGGATGCACGAAGAGGGGGTAACAAACATTTCGCTTAGGAGTGTGTTGCCCTGTAATCCTGTAGATGAGCTGTTTGCCACATGATTTTGTATAGTATGGAACAAATGTTCCACTGTGGTGTTTAGGCTCAAGGGACGCACCCAAGACAGCCGTGCGCCCGAGGAAAAGTGAAGTGCGAATATCTGTGTGAAGTGAAAGGGTCCGGAACGTACCCGTAAAGCGTTTTACTTTGACAGCAAAAGCCTGAAGCCCTAAAGTTTGAAGCTTGAGAAACCAGTTCGAAAGTTTAGGATTCTGAGCACTGAAAGCCTAACTAAACTTTGAAACCCGACAGCTACAGCAGCAGCTTCAAGTCTAAAGCTTGAAAACCCAACCAAGCCTGAGACCCAAGAAGAAGACACATGTGGCCATCAGTGTGTGTAGCTCTGATACTAGAAGTCAGCTCGATTTACGAAGTACATATACATACCTGCTTACATGTATACACATGCATACACATGCATACACATACATACATACATACATCCAGATCTTGTACTACTGTCCCATAGTCAATGCAAATATGGCTGGATTTCTGATAGCATCCCTGTTTTGATTACCGGACAATTCGATAAGTAGGTATCCATATGGGAACAATTGGGTCTTTATGTATGTGAGCGAAAGAGAAAGAAAACCACAAAGATACTGAGACCAAAGAATACGAGAATTGGCTAGTGCGAACCTAGCTTCAGGATTGGGTTTCTCAGGGTTTCAGGCTCTGGGTGGCTGGTGAATTTGCTGAGGCCTGTCAAACTTTATTGCAGCCTACGATTTCCCAAAGCTGAAGCATCATATGCTGAAGAAGCTCGCATTGACTGAAATCTATTTGCCAACTCCCAGCAGCAATCGTCATGCCTCCGCCAACTTGTCGTAGGAGGTGCAGACTGAAAGGGGCAGCGCCTGGCTAAGTGATGGAATTACATAAGGTTCAACGTTCAACAGGGGTGGGAGTGTGAAGGCAATGCAGAGGCAGCATCTCTTGTTTCTTGTGCAACAAGCGATCTGTCACTGCACTCGGCCGGTGTCAACGCAGAGTCTCGAGAACATCCAAGCAAACAGCCCTGAGCACAGAAACCTTTCCGGTTTATGCAATGTTCGGATTCAATCTCAGGGACTCAAGAGTCTGGGACTCGGAAATTCTGGGACTCAAAGAATCTCAGTGTCTCTTGGAGACTCTGAGACTCTGAGTCTGGAAATCTGTGAACCAGCTATCACCAGACTTTTCACTGCTTGTTGATTTATGTTCTGGATCTATACCCAAAGCAAACCGCAGCTTGTGTGCAAGTGTCAACATTTCCCCCTGCTTCTCCACCAATCGTTTGGAGTACTTGGTCAGCTTGCCTGCGGCAAGCTCCAGGTGGGATGCTGCTTTCTTGGCTTCTTCGCCTACTTTCTGCATCTGAACAACTGATCGCAAGGCACTGTTCAATCTGTCATTTGCACTTCTGATCCTCCTGCTCCTGCTCCTGGTCTGGCTCCTCCAAACCCTCCGCCGGCTCCTGCTCCTCCTGCTCCTCCTGCTCCTCCTGCCACTGCTTCTTCGCCTGGACGCGCTCCTGGTCTTGTCATCACTGTCACTTCTGCCGACACTTTGTCGCCCTTCTTCCGTTGCCTGTGCTGGTGGTGGTTCCTTGGCATCCTCGGCAGCACTGCCCAGCGGCCCAGGCTCATCGTCCTCAGAATAAATTGAAATTGACCTGAAAATCGGCTGTGACCAATCTGGAGAATTGAAACTTCGCTGTGCCCAATCTGGCCGGGCATCTTGGACGGCATTCTTCTTGTCCGGTGTGCTTTGGAGCTTCTCGGATGCACCAGACCTGCCGAATCAGTTTATATTGGGCGGGGGGGGGAGTTCAGGGTGGAATTGAGAACGACGGGCCTCCGCAGTGCTGGTTTCGCCGCCGCTGCTTCTTCTTCAGCAGTGTCTTTCTTGGTTTCTTCCAGTTCGCCCGGTGGGCCCATGGTTGTGCCATCCGGAGCTGCTCCATGTGAATCTGCTGGTCCTGGTGCTACTTTCTCCCCTTCCTTCTCCCTCAAGGTCTGGGACTCGCGGTAATCAGGGGACTCACGGGACTCACGGGAACTCCGGGTTGTCCGCTGGACTGACGAGGTTGATGGAACCTTCGTCATTTGTGGCCTCACCTTTTTCAGGACCTGTTGGCACTGGTTTTGCCAAGTGCTGCGACTGCTCCGGAGCATTGCCATGTTGAGCATCTTCTTCTTTTACTTCCTGCTGTAGTGAAGGGGGCGAAGTTGGATAGAGATAAAAAGGATTTGGTACCTGAAATGCGAAAACAGAAGAACAGAACCATTATTAGGGTCCAGAGACAGAGAAAAACGATAGCAAACAAATGTCATGAGCAGTTGAAGTACATCTTCCGGTGCCGGGGCCTCTGGAGTCTCCGGCTCTGTCTTCGTGATGATTCTGGCTGGAACTACCTCAATCTTGTGATTTATAAATCATTCGAAAACCTTATATGATACATAGAAGAAGAAAAGATTTAGGGGTTTAAAGGGGTTTAGGATTTAAGGTTCACAGTCTCCTAGCTTCTATAGGTGGCGTTTACAGAGTCTAGCCGAGATGCTGCCGGCCTTTGTTTCGGAGGAGGCTTTAGCTTTGGCGTTGCCTGTGCCAGTGCAGCCTTGCCAGGTGGAGGTCGAATTGCTCCTGGCGGCTTTGGGTGGCCTTCGGCGGCCTTCTCCATTGCCTCCCTGTCCGCTGCTCGGAAGCCGCCCACAGGTAGTGCCATTGGAATCTAAAGGCTGGACTCGGAGACTCAGGGACTCAGGGAATCTGAGTTGTGAGGCAGCCATTCGCATTGATCCCAAAGTCTCAAACATGTCTGCATGTGTGCTCTCACGACTGGCTCAAGACTACAGTTACACAGAGTCGCAGACTGCAGAACCATGGCCGAGAAAACAACTGCAGCTGATGTGGTGCAACTCAAGAACAGCAGTGATGCCTCAGCGAGGTCTCGCTGCTGCTTTTGAGTTGCATTACATTAGGATTACGAGAACTGGACTACCCGCTGTGCTGCAGCTCAGAAACGAATCCGAGTACCTGAGTGACCGAGTCCCTGAATCCCAGAGGCCCAGAGCCCTGACTGGAATTTCCCCTTTGAGCTGCTCTAGGATTAAGAGGACAAGTACACCTGCTCTGGTGAAGAACGAGAGCATCTGAGACATGGTATTACCATGTCTCAAATCCTCTCGTTCGCCCAATGGAGCACTGGTCCTAGTGCGAATCAAGAGCGACAGCGAGGTCTAGCCTTGCCTCGCGGTCGCTCTTGATTTGCATTAGCTATCACCCGGCCTCAGCTGCAGCTGGCAAGGTGGCGCTGCAGCACGTCACAGCGAGGGCGACCTGTGTCAGGCATGTCATGTGCGATCGCCAATCGAGGCCTGCTGTATGTGTCATAGGGTAGGCCTCGGTTGGCGATCGCATGGAGCTGACTTTGGGGTTTAGGGTTTATAGGATTGGGGAAGACTGGAATGCAGAGTTTGTTTCTGTCTGCTCCGTGTTGCGGTCTCTGTCTGCTGCTGAGCAGTAATTGCAAGGGCGACAATTGTGGTTGGAGTTTTGGGAGTGCAGGCTTGGGGCTCTTTCAGCAGCCTGAAAGAGCCCGAAGCCTGCACTCCCCTTACACAACATCTCAAGAAGAGCAAGAAGCGTGACGAGCTCTGTGTTGTGGTCTCTGTCTGCTGCTGAGCGGTAATTGCAAGGGTGACAATTGTGGTTGGAGTTTTCGGGAGTGGAGGTGTGGAGCTTTAGAGCCCCAGCCCAAAAGGCGACCATTCTGTGTTGGAGTTTGGGGAGCGACAGAGTGGTGATCTTTCGCCGCCGAAAGATCACCACGCCGTCGCTCTCCCCTAAACCCTAATCCCGAAGCTGAGCGGATAGTATAACCGCAATGTTCAAGGGTTACGACGTTCGTAGCTGCCTTGACCATTGCGGTTAGCTCTATTGTCTGTCAAAGGGATATTACCTGGTCATGGGCTTGTTGGTGCTTCAAGCTGGCTGCTACGGACTCTGTTGGAGCTCCTTCTGTACCGGGGAGATTGTGTCGAAGAGGTTGCAATGACATGAGCGATTGGCACACAACAGCTTACCGGACACAGTCGGCCTCCCATCCAAGTTGAGATTGCACGCATCCCGCGTCACCCCCCAGCTTCCCGGAGGGGGGTTCAAGCAGTCGCTGCCCCAGCTGATGCTTTAGCGTATCGCTCAGCTGTCATACACCTGGTGCTGGTGCGTTGGCCTCAAAGCAGCGACTTGCTTGACCACAATGCCAACAAAGCCTCACACCCGGCCAATGGTGTGCAGGGAACCCTACGAAGCACCGGTTCCCCGTTGGTAAGGCTGGCAAATGCCGGCTGAGTCGCAGAGTCCCAGAGTATCAAGAGTCGCAGATGAGCAGAAAAATGCCAGAGCTGTGCAAATAGCATCCGCCTTCCCCTAACCCAAAAGCAACTACTATTCTGTTCAACACATCAGTACTTTCCAAATAAACAATGACAATCTTTAAACCTGCAACCCCGAGGAACACTTCAATGTGTACGACC